GTGCCAGAGGTTACTCCTCCTCCTCATCGGTCCAGCTCCACAGTTTGGAGGCCTTTTCTTTTTAAATATTTGATTAAGACTGGATTAGAGCACAGCCACAAACTTGTACTGATGGAAACAGGGTGGAAAATGGTCATGGATGGTGAAGCAGAAGAGAGACAGAAATGCACAGCTGCAAGGGCAGGAGTCTCTTAAAACCAGCTCTTGTGCTGGCAGGAACAAGTACCATGGAATAAAATAGACATTTTACTGCATGTATTTCATACTTATTCACATGCTAGACCTGATCACATATAAACAAACTAGAAGGGTCCATTATTTATATGGTGTAATAAATGTTTATATGAGAGCTCTGCTTCAAATCATATATACATCTGCATTAAGAGGAGGAAATCAAAACAAACTGGGTTGGATCACCTTCTGTCACTAGAAGCATTAGAATGAAAAATGCCAGGGAATGAGTACCTAAAGAACTGGCTCATTTGATGCGCTTCCATTATCAAATCCCATGAGTTAGAGAGCACCACTGACCATCTGAGTTTCCTCAGGGCTTTGTAAACACATCCATTTCTCCCCTTTATAGAGGCACAGGAGAGAACTTGTATGTTAAGTGACAAGGACATTTCACTTCTCAGCAGACTGCTCAGCTTAACCCACACATCACAACCCAGAGCTGGGCTGTGGAGCCAGGGTTCCCACGATCTTGCGCTGACTCCAAAGCCAAGCCCAGATTCCTTCTACCCAGGGTGAGCAATTAAATAGCTTTGGGCTTTTTGTATACGTGATGGAGAAAGACAGGGGTCCTTGAGAAGCAGATCCTATGTTAGAGGTCAGCTGAACACGTCCATCTCACTCTCTGTGGTTCAGAGGGGTAGCTACTGTAAAACTGAATAACGTGAACATGTCAGGTGTCCTGAATATGATCAAAGATATTGCACCACTAAGTGATAAAAAGGATAATCATTTTACATCCAAGTTCTTCCTCCTCGGCCTCCAAATTAGATCATTACCTTGCACTCAGATACACGTAGGGAAAGGCCATTTTTTTAAATTGGCTTTTCTTGGTATAAACAAGTCACTTAGAGATGCAGGCAGAGGCAGCTGTAAACAGCACGAAAAAGGGGCAAAGGGCTCACTAGGCTGAGGGAAATTAATGGTTCATTGCTTGTAAATAGCTATTTCCCCAGAGACTACCCTATGCTCTGTGTATGCTCTCTGCACATGCTGGCAGCAAAGTGGAAGCTTTATTAAGGGAGTTACAAATAGGGTCAAATTCCTTTAGGAGCTTTTCAGAGTTCCCAAGACATTCAAGGAGGGGTCCAGCTGTTTGCAGGGGTTTCCCATTACGGTCAGAGACACAAGTTTTAGCATGTTTCCAGTTAAAAGGAGATCTGGCAGATTTTCTCTTTAACATGACAGGGATAGGATGGAGTTCTTAGCAATAATTTTCTCTTCACAGATGACAAGCACATTCATATAGACTTTAGACAAAGAGAAAGCATGGCATGGCATGTGAAGTCTGACTTAGGGATCTTACATCACCCAAAAGTAGCACAACAACAGCTGGATTAAAAGGGCTGCAACGCCACGATACCTCAGGACCCACCTCAGCACCTAACGTGCCTCATGCCTCTGGAGAATCTGGGAAACTCACTTTTGGTGGACTTTATTTCCTCAACATTTCTACAGGAGTACAAGGTCTTGTTTTTCAAGGCAGAAATGACACAAATTAAATTATTTTTTTAACTTTTATATGCAATGCTCTATTAGGCCACCTCTCCTCCCCATCTTAGACCTCAGATCTTTAAAAGCCTCACCTGTACAAGCTGTAGATTTCTAAATTCAATCCAAATGTGCATTTTTCTTCCACAGGGAAAAAAAAAATGGAATCAAATTTTCTGAACTGTTTTTCATTAGGAGAGGAAGAAAAGATAACCTTCAGCACCTTTGAGGCAAGTATGAGTTCTTCACTCATCAAGTAGCTCATTTTGCCTGGATATAAATAATCACTGCAAACTTGTCCAGGAGCTACTTCCCAGTAAAAGGCCTTTTGCCAAGGCTCAGACTTGACACAAATCGTCAGCCCCATGAAATTCAAACAGAATAAATCTTCCATATACAGAACATAGCTCGGTTCTGCCTTACAGGAACTAGTTGCTGCCACAAAGTCTGAGTCATATGGTCATATTTGTAAGATCAGCTCGCTGTGAATGTCTGGGATCAAAGGCTGTCATGGAGCAGCCCTCCCCACACTGGAAACGTGGGAATGTGCAGGGAAATGTTCTCTAGCTAGCAAAAGCTTTGATTTATAAATTGTGATGTTTCCACCTGCTCCCAAAGGAACAGAGTTGCCTGCTGGGCTAGGCAGGCCCGTGGCAGAAGCACAGCTTCTGGAGCAGGTTGGGGGACCCTGAGTGCTGCTCCCACAGTCACTAGTGGCAGCTGGGAGTACAACTCGCTCACTTCACTGCTGCAGCTGTAGGCAGGATGGCGATCTCTTGCAGCTTGCTGAGGGGAAGTATGGTGTGAATATGCTTTTTGCTGATTTTGGTTGGAGATGGATCCTACATCAGTTTCTCCTGTGGCTCAAAGGAGTGCTATCTGCAGCCACAACTCACCTTCATGTTCCTGAATCACTGGAGCTCTGTCCCATTGGGTCAGCTCACACAGGTGGATGAGAGGAAGGTCGTGAGGAGCAGAGACTGCCTGTAGCATTGGCAGCATCACACTGAGGGATCTGCAAGCTATTGCTGGAGAGACCTGAACAAACACTCCCAAATGCAGCTGGGATTTGAGGGTTGAACCATGGGGAGTTGAAACACCACCTGCTCACTCCCAGGTTTTAAGTTAAGCTCATACCCCTCCACTTCACTCAGGATTCCAGCATGCAGAGAAACATCAAGGTCAACAGCTACAGTCTGTCTTTCACCCTGCTTACACAGTGCCCAAATGTCTGGGAGAACCCCAGGGAAGTCTCTGCTCCATGATGAGTTCCTCATCTCTCCTCTCCAGCCCTGCAGGGCATTCAGGCAGCCACTGTCCTACCTACGTACCTCCTTGGCACCCCAGCAGCTCCAGGCTGACTTAACACAGATACTTCAGACCTCAGCAATTCCAAACATGTGAATATTTGCTTGTGTCCAACATCTCAGTGATTGTTAGCATCAGTTCACAGCTTAATACCTTGTGCTGGATTTTAACATAAAGCTGCCTCAGCTTTCCCATCCCCTGCTTGTTGTTACAGTGCCTTGTACTGAGCCAGCTCTCATAACTAGTTTCATGTAAGAGCTGATACTGGAGGAAGGCCCTGCCTCATCCCAGCAGCAGGCTGTGTGCTGCACTCTGGGATCTGACACCTCATTTCCTTGGGCAAACATCCCAATTTGTAGAGCTCACAAGGCCAGTTTTTGGCATACAGGCACTAGAGATGCTATGGCACGTGCAGCCCTGCTGTCAGACCCCACTGCTTGTTCACTGCCTCCCATCCCATTTTCTGGTGTCACACACCTGGATCCCAGACAGTACAAGTTTTGTGAGTTAGTATCTGGGTAAAGAAGAGTAAAACTTTGCAGCGTCACGTAGGGTTCTGCTTCAGGCTGACATTGAAGAGCAGGCCCCTGTGCTGGTACCTTGTCACTGCTACGTGCCTGTTCCTGCTCTCTCAGCAAGGACAGAGGAGTGGGGTGCTCAGGTCTACTCCAGAAACCCATCCAGTTTTACTGACTCAGCAAGTTCTCACCCAGCAGCCCAACCACCACAGAAACCAAAGCACAGCTCCTCCCAAACACCACACAAAAGTGGTCTAAGCTAACCTGTCTCACATATCTGTTTCAGCTTCTGCACCCTGGCACCTGAGGGACAACAGAAGCACATCCAGGGACACTGGTCACCTCAAGAGATGGGAGGTAACTCGTTAAAGGATGTTGACTCTGCTGTCATGCACTCACCCATGGGACTGGGTAGGAGACTCTGCACCGCTCAGTTGTGCTGCAAGCGCTCAGGTTTTCACAGCTGCACAACTAAGACACTCCCCACGCTGCACAAATAACCTGACTGGCCTGATTCCACCTGTGGGTTCCTACTGACACCCATCACCTGTGTATCATATTTCCAAGCAGTCACTTCACATGCTTCCATTTGAATAGCATTTAACTCCTTGAGGGCACTGGATCAGCAGCTGTGAAGCCAAAGATCTTCATATACAGCTGAACAGATCCCAGCACAGGCAATAGCAGCAGATCAAGCTTCCCTGTACAGCTCCCACTGAAGCCTTTCCCTCTCTGGAGGCAATTCCTTTGGGAAACCAGTTAATTCCCTCTCAGCTCTGCTGAGAAGGATCATGAGGAATGTTGAACACAGGACTTTGTACTGCAGACTGTTGTTCTCTCTGTCACAGCCTAAAATATTCAAAGTCATTTCACAATGGCTCAAGAACAGGCAGTTCTAGTGAATGTTTTTCAATTATTTATCTTTCACTCTTGACTGTAAGAGACTATGATAGCCTGAGAGTAAAAAAGCTACTTGAAGATACTGTAAGCCAACCATAACATGATGAAACTTAACAACTTGCTTTTTTAATTCGCTCCCTTGCTTTAACTTCGGTGAAAGTTTAAATGCAGTATCAGGGCTTCAATGTTGCAGATAACACATGACAATATGTTCCTTCATATTTTAGGCAGAGGTTTGGTTTCTGAACCACCAGAAGGACAGAAAATTGAACAAGAAACCCAAACACCTTCCATCATATAATCTGATGTATCTGTTAAAAGCCTGTGATTTGGTAATTTGGCTGGAACATCTAGCTGAACCTCAGTTTGGTGCTCATGATGAAGCTCACCTCTGGTTAACAAGGTGCCACACATCAGGAGCACTACCATGGCAGGTTTTATGTTCCAGTCCTAATTTTCTGATCAGGTTCTGTGCCAGCACTACCATGATGACAGTAAATGAAATCACCCTGCCCAGTTTAACACACTCTGTCAATCCATCCCCCTGCTTACCAATCATGGGTATCCCTAGGTTTTGGTATGGGCACTCCAGGCCGCCTCCTTGTGTCCTCCCAAAGATAGCAGAGTAAATGGCTATCACCATGCTCTTCTTACAGCTTAGCCTCAGCTTGTCATCTTCACAGGCTACTTTACTCTTGTATTCATCTGGAAGGAAACAAACACTTGGTTACTCAGCTGATCCAGAGGTGGGCACCCAGCGGGGAGGGTGGGAGCCTTCTCACCTCCCCATGGTGTGAGCTCAGCAGCAATTCAGGGGTGCACATCAGCTGCCAGCACAACCCCAGCCTTAGCACTGCATTTTCTAGAGGAGCACAGATCTTTCCCATCATGCATTCTCCCTCTGACGTTATCAGCACATTTAATGAGCATATTTTAGCCTGGCACATGTCAATTCTGTTAAATAGCCAATAATTTCATTTTGCAGACAAATAAGTGAGGAAGTATGGCAATTGAGTGATTTCCACATGGTGATATGGCAAGGGAAGGTGAAAGTCTGTCTTTGGGAACCTACCTCATCCATATCAACCCTTTATGTGCCAAGCACTTATTCTACATTAGAGAAGCTAAAATTCAAATATCATCATTCTTAAAAGCCTTTTTTCCCAGCAGCTGTCCCTTGGCAGATCCAATAGGAGCTATACTAAATTTGTTAATTATGGAAGCCACTCCTGCCTGTTGCAAACACAGATATACAAAAGCTGCTCCCCAAATTCTTCTCAAAATGGTCAGCTCGAGAATGCAAAATACATTCTTGCTTTTGTAAGGTTGGTACACACAGAACAGTCACTCTGTGTACATCTCTCAAGAAGACTGGACAATCATTTCATAAGAAACCACATGTCATTCTCTTCTCTTCACTGTTATTTGGATTATGGGAACCTCTAGAGGTCCCAACCTAGAATAGGCCCTCCCCATGTGTGTCTGACTAGATATCACTGAAAACAAACAGTATTTTGAAGAGCTGAACCTTTACAGCTAAACATCTACAACTGTGACAGAAAGAGACTAAGAAAAAGGCAGTGATGTAGAGAGTAAAAACTGAGGTGGCATGTCTGTGGACACTGCAGCCAACTTAGGGCACAGCCAGGAATACACCCTCAACATCCCCAGCCTCTGGAGAAGGACCTTTCACCTTTTTATGTTATTTACCCTTATAAATGTGGCCACAACAGCATCCAGATTGCTTAATGGGTAGGGTCTGTGACCCCTGGTAACCCCCCAGGCATGATCAGTCATTTCATCTTGAATGCCTCTAGTTGTACCAGGTCAAAGTTGTGCCAGAGAGCACATGAGCAACCAAACACATAACTATCAGCCAGTGCCTGGGGCTGCCTCTGGCCCTCTATCATTTCCTATCATAGACATCACTTTTGTATCTCTCTGACAGCGGTTCTCAGTGTCTAGTGTCACACAGAGACACAGACACACACATATATATATATAAATATATATATATATCTGTAAGAACTTATGCAAAGTCTAACATCCACCAAACTATTCAGTAACTGAGAACACCAGCTAATAATCACCTTATAGGCTGATATTCAAATCTTCAAATCCTGGCACTTAGCACTTAATGTCATATTGTTTTACTGCAGTGTAATTCTAGAATGACATTACAACTGAATTCTTGAATTCTAGAATTCAAGAATAATTTTTCCTTGTTGGTGATGGAAAGTAATTTTTCCACCGAAGTTCAATCATAGAAGAATTTAGGCTAGAAGACTCCTCAGGAGGACATCCAGCTTAAACCACGTTCAAAGAAGGGCTAATTTCTGCTTTAGACTAGATTTTTTCAGAAGCAACTACATGGAGAAAACATGTGTTACACCAAAACATGAACATGCTGATTTAAAAAGAAATATCTGAGAATTAAATTATTCCTCATATTCAACTTGAAAATTCCTACTTGAAGCTGAAAAATAGCCCCCTCAAAGTAGATGCTGTTCAGAGCATCAGCTGGAATGTGAAAACCCTGATCCAAACCTTTGCAGTCCAGATGGGAATCTTAACCCTAGACCCTACTCCAGTACGTAATCTCTGTCTCACTTGCAAACTTTTTTCAAACATCCCTGAAAGAGCCTAGTTTTTCTCCCACTGCAGAGAAACTTTCAAAGCTCTAAAATATTTACTGAATGTGAAAACACTTCATGATCCATCCCTGTAGATGAAGACACAATTAAGGCCTACCTCATTCAAGGGAGAGTCTGTGCAGAGAACACACATCCCTCAGCAATAACCATGTGTATAAACCCACGACCAGCTGAGTGTGTAAAACATGACAGGAATCAGAAGCTTTTTGCAATTTCAGAGTATGTAACGAGAGAAGACCTTCATGTAGCTGTGAAGAATCAGAGGTGGACTTGACAATGTCAGGTTAATGGTTGGACTTCGTAATCTTAGAGGTTTTTTTCTAAACTAAATAACTCTATGATCCACAGTCAACATGAAAGCATCTGAGTGCTACACTGAACATACTAAGGGGTTTCATCTTCACCTATAAATGTCTCCCATAGGAATTGTGTTTCTTCTGTGAGGGAAATTAAATGAAAGCTTTACCCTGCTATAAAGTATAAAACTTAACAGAGTATAATAGAAATTTATAGACTTATTAGACCTTTTTTTTCTTTAGGGAAAAAAACAAACCAGATTAAAACTAAAAGCACAAGGGCACAAAACTCTCCTATAGGACAAGCTATACATAGTTAATGTTAAATCAATATTAGAGAAAAGAAGAATACTTGTGACTGGCTGAAGTGGTTGAAATATGAAATAGTCAATTAGCTTTAAAGAAAGAACAATTTTGAATCCTCTAATGAGAGGGTCCTCTGTGAAGGTCTTATTTCTTACAAGGCACTAACTCAATTTCCTCTTCCAATTTGGTTATTATTAGCTACATATCTCAATTAACAAGTATAACTGATTGCTTAGCCACATATTCTACGGACTCATTTAAGGTCTTTAGAATATTTAATAAATTCTGCTGACCATTCAAAGTCAGAGCTTGTAATTTGGAAACTTGACTGGGATTTAAACACAGTGAATATTTCACTGAGCCCACTGGGATGGACAGGCATTCACAACTGAAGGTCAGTCTAGCAGTGATGAGACAGCCAACAACTTGTCCTTATAGCACCTTCCAGTTCCTAAAGGAGCTACAAGAGAGCTGAAGAGGGACTTTTCATAAGGGTATGGAGTGATAAGACAACGGAGAATGGCCTGAAGCTGAGGGAGGGCAGGTTTACATTGGATATTAGGAAGAAATTCTTTACTGTGAGGGCAGTGAGGCACTGCAACAGGTCGCCCAGAGAAGGTGTGGATGCCTCATCCCTGGAAGTGTTCAAGGCCAGGTTGGATGAGGCTTTAAGCAACCTGGTCTAGCGGAAAGTGTTCCTGTTCATGGTAGTTGCATTGGAGCTGGATGGTCTTTAAGGCCCCTTCCAACCTGTACCATTTTGTGATTCCATAATTCTACGAACAACAAAACACTGCCTCTCACATTTGCAGTTCTTACCCTTGTAGCCACTCTGGGAAGTTGTGTTCAGGGCTTATGGGGGAAGCTGCCTGATGGATGGCTCAAAAATCAAAGTGGGGAGGTGAACCTGGGTGTACACTCCTTGGGAGCAAGGGCAGTTCGTGGGTGATGTGCTCCCAGAACACTGCAGTGTGAAGTAAGAGGGCTGCGCCCCTTAAAGCAGATGTCACCTTCCAGTCACTAAATTCTGCCCCAGGAAACATCTATTTGAGCTACCAGTCCCCAAGGCTCTGGCTGAGTCCAAACTGGTTGGGCTGCAGTTTCCTGGTCTGGCACAGAGACACTGATTTCTTAAAAGGTATTTTAAAAAGGAAGGAAAAAAGAAAGAGTGAAATACACAGTAGTACTTCAGTCTCTCAAAGTGTTCCTTTAAGCTTGATCACTGGAAGACAGTCTTGGTGTTTCTGGGTAACCTGATAGAAATCTGGATAAACATACAGATAAGAAAGTGATGCCATAGAGGACACAAGTCTCTGAAAGTATTTTCTACTTCATAGCATTGCCATCATAACCAGGGTGAGCAAAAGCCAGACACTGGTGGCTCTCAGGCACTGGACAACAGTAAGGACTGTGACTGATATTAAAAAAATACAGAGCTAAGCATCCTCCATATATTCACTGGTACTTCACTGATAATAACCTGACATAAACATTGAAAAGAATCGAGGCAGCACAAGTGACATAAGAGAGCTGGGACTGGGAACAAATGTGCATTTTTCTCTCTCACTCTCCCAAGCAGAACTGGCCTCCTACAGATCACTCACAATCTGGTCCTAAGCCTGCTCTAACTGTTACAGTCTGGATATAATTCAGGCCAAACGCAAACATTTGTATTAGTGGGTTTCATGTTTCACCCTGAAAAATTAAACACGCTTAAATGGCCTCGGAAAGGTGGCAGTGATATTCAGCAAATGGCTTACTCCACTCTAATCCTCCGTGCAGTCATTTGTAGGGCAACAGAGATTTACCATGATTAAGATATTTGCTAAGGATAATATCCCTTTTATTATTGCCTGGTTTCAGAGACACTGGCTTAAATATAACTCAGTAGAGAGAACCCAAGGAGGGAACAGCTGCAGGCTTTTCTAGACACATTTTTAAAGGTCACTATGTGACACTATTATAATGTAGCTTGGACAATTATGGGAAAAAATATAAATGTTTCTAATAGAAAAATGGGCTCTCTCAAACAGTAAAATGAATAAGAAGACCCATTTTAATCATAGGATGCATACAATAATATTAACCTATGTGACCTATAGTAAATACAATTACCCCGTGTCTTAAGAACATTTTCATTTTTGGTCCACAACAATTTTTTGAATGATCGGTTCAAAGCTCAAAACTAAATGTCAATTGCCTCAATCTCTTCAAGACCTTAGAGAAAGATCCTGAAAAGATTTTGTTAGATCACTAACAAAGTGATGGAATGCATTAATGCCAGAGTTCTACCTTGTCTAAAATTATGTTTTTGAACAGAACTTGTGGGAAAAATTATGAAATTTTGCTAAGTAAAATATGCATACTTCACATAATCAGTGCATAATAGCTGACCCTATTTCCCAGATCAAAGAACTGGAAATACATGTAAAGAGAAATCTGTTTTCCT